CTAGACGACAGGAGCCCCGGGGCATTCAAAGTGCAAGGTCCGGTGCGCGTGGGTGAGCGGTGTGTGTGTGTGTGTGGCATGGAGAGATATGGGGAGATACGGGGAGATACGGGGAGAGATGGGGAGAGATGGCCTGCAGCATAGCCCGCGGGCGGCGGAGGCGCTGCCGCGAGAAGAGGCTGCGAGAGAGTCTGGACAGACGTCTCTGCCGCCCACCGCAGCGCCTGCAATCTCGGGGGATCTCGGGTCACCTCGGGCAATCTCTGGAGACAGGCCGTCTCCGCCGCCCGCCGCAGCGCCTGCTCCGCCTGCGGTGTTTGCACCGGCCGCTGTGAGCTCCCCATACCTCCCCATATCTCCCCATGTCTCCCCACCATATCTCCTGTGGTTTGCACCGGCCGCTGTGAGCGATGCGCTGTGTTCACCTCGACTCCTCTCGGCTCCTCCCAACCCTCCCGGCTCCTCCCGGCTCCTCCCGGCTCCTCCCGGCTCCTCCCGCCCCCCTCTCGCCCCCTCTCGCCTGCAGCTGCGCGGTGAGCTCTCGGATCTGCGCGTCGGCGGTCGCCTTCACCGTCTCGAGCTCTCGCGCCGCAGCCTAACCTCGGACGACCTCGGATGACCTCGGACAACCTCGACTCGGCTCGGCTGGTCTCGGGTGATCTCGGGTGATCTCGGGTGATCTCGGCTGATCTCGGGTGATCTCGGGTGATCTCGGGTGATCTCGGGTGATCTCGGGTGATCTCAGGTGACCTCGGGTGACCTCGGGTGATCTCGGGTGATCTCGGGTGATCTCGGGCGATCTCGGGTGATCTCGCCTGCCGCGCGCCGCTCTCGGCCGCTGAATGCCGCTTCACCTGCACACACACCCAGCGGCGACGTGACGGGAGGGGTGTTCTCTTTTGGGCAGGGAGAATGCCGCTCCGCCAGCTGGACCGCCCCCGCTCTCGCTTCTTTGGCCGCGGCATCGCGCTGCTCTCTCGAACGCCGGGAGGTATGGGGAGGTATGGGGAGGTATGGGGAGGTATGGGGAGGTATGGGGAGGTATGGGGAGGTATGGGGAGGTATGGGAGGTATGGGGAGGTATGGGGAGGTGTGGGGAGGTGTGGGGAGGTGTGGGGAGGTGTGGGGAGGTGTGGGGAGGTGTGGGGAGGTGTGGGGAGGTGTGGGGAGATGTGGGGAGGTGTGGGGAGGTATGGGGAGGTATGGGGAGGTGTGGGGAGGTACAACTGTATGGGGAGGTATGATGGGGAGGTGTGGGGAGGTATGGGGAGATATGGGGAGGTATGGGGAGGTGTGGGGAGGTATGGGGAGATATGGGGAGGTATGGGGAGGTAGGGGCTCGCCTCGTCGTCCAGCTGGCGCCTACCAAAAAAAGAAACACGAGTCGAGAAAAGAAGTGGGCCCAGGGGCGTCATGCTCGCTCGCTCGCCGCGTCTTGTCCAGCGCAGTACGAGTGCGCTGGAGCTCCGCCTCCGCCTCCTTCTGCTGCTGCTGCTGCTGCTGCTGCTGCTGCCGCCGCTGCTGCTGCTGGCGGCGCTGCCTCTCCTCCTCCGCTAGCTGCTGCGCCTCCGCTAGCTGCTGCGCCTGGGCCTACGGAAGCGAGAAGGGCGTCGCAAGGCAAAATAAGAAGTGGGTGTCCCCCGGCTCGCGCCTGCGCGTGGGCCTGCGCGTGCGCGTGGGCCTGCGGCTGCGGCTGCCGCTGCTGCGTCGGCGGCTGCCACTGAAGCTGCTGCAACTGCTGCTGCTGCTGCTGCTGCTGCCGCTGCAGCTGCTGCTGCTGCAGCTGCTGGCGGGGAGGCAGACTCGGTCGAGCGAAGGTCTGCGCCGGCGGGAGAGGGGCCGGCCGCGGTGGCGGCGGCGGCGGGAGCAACGGGAACGGCGAAGCCCGTGGCACTGCGCCGCCCGGCAGCGGCACCGCCTGCTCGGGCGCGGACTGTGATTCTTTTTCTGGCGGCCTTGTAGCGCCTGTAGCACACCCGCTGCTAGCCGGCTCATCTGGCGGCCGGACTTGGCGTGTCGTGTCTCCCCTACCCGCTTTCCGCGAATGCCTCCTCCGCCCATCCCTCTCTCTCTACTCCTCTCCTCGTCCCTCCCTCCCTCTCCTCACCCGCCCCTCCTCTCTACTCCTCCGCCCATCCCTCGCTCTCCTCCTCCTCCCTCACCCATGCCCATCCTCTACCTACTCCTTGGCCGCACCCGCGCGACGCCCGGCCGAGGAATCGCCGGGCCGCCCTGCAGCTCACCTAGACAAAGAGGCACACGCGGCCGTCAGAAAAAAGAAATACGCACCGCGAGCCGCGGGCCGGCTAGCCTGGAAGAGGAACAGGGGGCGGAAGCGGCACCTGCGGCAGCAGAGACAGAGGCGAGCGCGGTGAGCAGACGCGGCTCACGAGGAGGAGATGCGTACTGCATGGCCATGCTAGGAACTGCTGCATGTCCACTGCGCTGCGCAGCAGCAGCGTTCCTCTCGCTGCTGTCTCGCACTGTAGCGGCGCAGGACGCGACAGTGGCGCGGGCGGCGCGGCCGCAGGGCGCGAGCGCGCCGCCTCGCTGGGTGGGCCGGCGACGTGTCTCCGCCTCGCCCGCTCGGTTCGGCCGCGCTGGAGGACCGCCACCGCGCCTGAGCAACTCCACTCCCCAACGTGTGAGCAGGCACGGGCTCGGCGGCGCGCGTGTTGGCGGGGCAGAGAGGGCGGCGCCGGCGGCGACCCTCGTGTCGACCTCGCGATCCGCCCGAGATCGCGGGCCATCCTGCCGACCCCGCTTCTGCCCAGACGACACCTCCTCTGCCGGACGGTATGAGGGCGCGCGAGGGGCGGCGCCGCCGTGAGGAATCGGCCGCGGCGGCGCGTGCGAGAGGTGCGGTCGCGGGAAGAGTCCGACGCCGGGCGGCGCGTGCCCGTTCGGCGCGAAGCTCCGCGGAGGCAGCATGCCAGGCGGCGGCGGGCGGAGCGGCACGCCGTTCCCCGGCGTTCGTAGATGCGGCGGGACGTGGCCGCCGGCGCCGGGCAGCGGGCCAGCACCGGGCAGAGGCATGCCCGCAGCGTTGAAGTGAGGCAGGGACGGATAGGGTGGCGCTCCGCCGGGATGGATGATGGGCCTGGACGGGTGCATTTGGCGGACACAGGGGCGTGGGGGCGGGGCCGAGCAGTCCGCCAGCCCGCACAAGAGCAACACGAGAGACCTCGTTTTTCTTTTACTAAATTCTTTTACTCAGTGCGTTGTATTCTTTACATTTCTTCTGTCAACCGGACGGGCGTCACGTTGATTCGTCTCAGTCTCACGTGAATCCGTCCCTGTCTCACTCTCAGCGTCTCCATCGTGTCTCAATAGATCATCACTTCCGTCCCAGCCAGCAAGAGAGAGAGTGAGATGCGCACCGACTCTGGTCTCTCCGGCTGCCACCCCGACGACCCGTCCTTGGACCAGACGCCGCCTTGCTGCGACTCGCAGCTGCACGGCGTTATCACCTTCATGTTTCAAGAGAGTTTGGCAGGGTGAGGGGGGTGAGGGGGGGTGAGGTTGCGCAAATCCCTCCAAAAGTCCCGTGGGTTCTACGCTACATAAAATAAACATGAAATTTTTATAATAACAATTGCAGCTCCCCACTCACCCCCAGTGGTTTTCTGAGGGATTTGCACAAACCTCACCCCCCCTCACCCCCCTCACCCTGCCAAACTCTCTTGAAACATGAAGGTGATAACGCCGTGCAGCTGCGAGTCGCAGCAAGGCGGCGTCTGGTCCAAGGACGGGTCGTCGGGGTGGCAGCCGGAGAGACCAGAGTCGGTGCGCATCTCACTCTCTCTCTTGCTGGGTGGGACGGAAGTGATGATCTATTGAGACACGATGGAGACGCTGAGAGTGAGACAGGGACGGATTCTCGTGAGACTGAGACGAATCAACGT